GTGATTTTTCAATATAGTCGCCTCCATTAGTTATGCATTTCCACCAGCAATGAACAAGAGCCTACATGCCATGCTCGTAAAAATCTGCATGGCTGTCCATAACGTGGCTTGTCTTTCACATCCGTGTCACCACAGCTGAAACAAATCATCCACCACCACCTCACTGTGCTGAAATCTACCATTCAGTCTCCATGGACGTTCAGCAAGAATCAGTGAATGTCAACGAGTGCCATATTTTTTTTGGCATGGAAGAATTCAGCCAGCTCACAAGCCTTGCTGCCTTTTCTTCACAATACTTCCCTCTTCCTTTTAGCACCACCTCAGTATTTCTTTCTCTCATGACACGTGCTCTGTGCAACCTGTTTTTGTCCCAGCAACCTCAAGATCTCAAACCAGGGACTTTCCTTATGTTTGCATAAGCTGACCCGTATAAATAATCTCTTCACAAGGACAAAGTGTTCTTTATTATTACAGTAAGAGCATTTCCCAAAAAAAAACTGGTTTTGATCCATGTGGTTTTCTTCTCATAAAAGGCAATGGACACTTCCCTGGTGCTGTGTGGAGAGAGGGCAAATTTTCCTAGACACTTGGGAGCTCAGATTATGGAATTTAACAACACAGCTCACTTCTAAAGGATGAATTTCTTAGATATCTGATGTAGACGCTTTCATATGGCTACAGTGAGTTTATTTGCTTCCTAGGCCTAAGTTGTTTGAGAAATTTCTGCTAACATTCTGTGTTTGAAAGCAGTCCCACTTTACCACACTTGTATTTGTGTGAAAGTGGTATTTCTGTCACTTTACAATTTAGCAGTAGGGGTCTTCAAGCTGAATTTGGGCTGGATTTCCTCTTTTGTTCTCTCGTGATATTGGATTCTTCTCTTCCTTCTTTTCTACACACTGACAGCCTTCACTCTCCTCCTTTCTTGAACCATGCGATCCAAGTCTTGCCTGGAAAGCTGCCATTCCAAACAAACAAACAAACAAACAAACAAAAAACCCTAAGGATATGCCTGCAATGCAATGGGACTTGTTTTTTCTCTTCTTTAGGTACATTCAAACAGAAATCTCGACGTACGATATGAACCTGTCTAGCCCAGAAAAATGCCAGCTGCCTTGGGGCCACTACTTGCCTTTCTCCTTGTGTTCCAATTAGACCTTTTCACAGAATCAAAAGCAATCTTCTGATGCTGGCCTGAAGATTTGAGGCAATGCTGTAGGATCATTTTAAAAAACAATCCTAGACAAAAGTAGATAGAAGCTCCTTGATTTGTGCTGGTTCCCTTGCAGCTATTCCTGCCCCATCCAACCTACAAATGGTTATTTAATTGGTGACCCAACCCATACAGAACAGGTTCACCCATCTCCTTCTGTGACAGAATTATAAAATGTTACAGCAGGCTGCAGTGTTGTCAGCATCAATATTTCACATCATTAGAGGAGGTTGCCAAGTATCTTTGGCCTTGCATTATTGATGGTTTAATGAATAGACTATTTTTTCTTTGAGAACATCTGTTTAAGTGCAGTCCTTACCCCGTATGAGGTAGTTCAGGGCTCTCAGATAACTGTCTTCCTGTTGCTGAATCAAACTGGTAGTTAAGTATCTATTCGTCTCACACAGAAGGTCAGTATTTTCTTTGCAACCCAACTGACACAAACTCTGTGACAACTTAATATCAGTGTTTATCATGTTTCTGCATCTTCAGGCCTGGAACCAAAGTTATTTTAACTCAAGATTGTTTGTGAGGAAGCTTTTTTGCCAAAGTTCCATTTTGGCAGGAAGATAAACCCTCCTTTTTAATTTCATATCATTAAGCTGAATACAGCTATTCTAAAGTTCTGTGGGGTTTCTTTCTGCCTGACGTGCTCTTGTATTGCAAAGCTGAAAACAACCACAGGCCAAGAATCATCTAATAAAATGATGGAGCATTCTCCTACCTGGGTATTTCTTTTATAAAATCACTACACCTGAAAATGTGACAATGCATGTAAGCTTGAAACAATCCTTCCTGGAGCTCCCAGTGTGACATTTTAAATTTGGGAACAGCTGGTTTTTCTGTAATGTAAGAACACCACACCCAAACAATTGGCTTAAAGGACAAAATTCTGCCTTTTCTCTTTGGGCACTGTATTTCCTTGTCTGTGCATTTGGCCAAAGACATTGGGCTTCCTGAATCCACAACCAGTCTGAGTGACACAAAGCATTTCTGCAGCCAAATGACTCTTCACGGTCTGAGTCCCCTCAGCCCTTTATCAGATTGGTCCAGATGAAGGAATTAGAGAAATATTTGAACAGTGGATATTTACCACGCTCATTAGAAAGCAGAAGGGGAAAGAAACTCAGCAACTTGAGCAAACACCATTTTATGTAATTGTCTGAGATTTTTTTTTTTTAAATTAAACAGCTTAGCTGTCACTGAGATTTGCCTGAGGGACAACTGTGGATGAGTTACACAACTCAGCGTTCATTCATCAACTAATTCTCTGCAAAACCATATGGCTCCTCGCAGGGATTTCTTTAAACATTCTGCAAGGATATGAATTGGTGGCTTTGTAGATGTTGAGCACGTTGCTCGAGGCTCATTTTGAAATGCTGTTTCTAGACATTAAAGCAATGGTATTGTTGCAAGCAGTAGCCTAATAGAAAGCTGTTGTTTAGGCACTTTCAATCAAATAAAGAAAAGAAATAGAAAAATAAGAAATGTTGGAAGAGTAAACATCTAAACTTTAAAGATGAACTATGCTGCTGTATGTGGTTTTCTCATGCAAATGTAGGATGTGCAGTTTACTAGATAGAAGCCAACAAGGAAGAAGAAACATTATAAAGTAAGATGGTCTCATTAATCAAGTCAGATATAAAAGAACCATTGCAAAATGTATGCATGCATATGGTGCAGTAAATTTGTTTGAAAATATGAGTTCATTACTTTAGGTCACTCTGAAGTGCATCAGGGCACCTGCCAGATGGGAAAAGACAAATGTCACATAGGAAGGGCTGCTTGTACACAAGTCTTTTGCACGAAGTATGAGAGGTTTGGACTGCATTGTAATGCTGGTGTTTGTGGTGTAGAGACTTGGGGTGCTTTGGTGGAACTGCAAGCAGTAGTAATGCAGTGATGTGCATCAAGAGCTTCATTGTCTTCCCTCACTCAGTGACTGGGATTAAATTTGCTCCCTAGTTCAAAGCAAAGTTTCTGGTACTCTGAGTTTTTAAATCCCATTTGGCATCTCTAGTTGTTAAGAGGAGAAAAACATAGGACACAATTATAAGAGGAATTCGGTGAGTATTACAGATGAATTTTTCAGGCTTTTTTCTTTTTTCCTTTGAAATCAACTCATTCCAGAGTATTTTCTAACCTCACCCTATTTGGGACATTTTTCATAGCCGTGCCCAGCACAGATCTTGCAGGCTAGAATTCTGGCCGGGAGAAATTTTGACATTTGCACCCTGTTTACAAGTTGGGGAACTCGTGTGGATAGAAATTCAAGAGCTCACAGGAGCTTTTTGCTGCTGCAATATCAGGTAGACCTGACAGATCACTGTAAAAATTCACTGAGGAGATACTGATTTTTAGTGACAGCAAGTGCCTGTGCACTCTGCCAAGCTCAGCTCATCTGAGAACAGAGCAGTTTGTTCATCTGCATTGTAATTATTTTATACAACAGGTGCATTCATCTCTATCCCCATATGTCAATGGATTACTTGCAGTGTTTGTCAAGCTCTGAGATTCTATAGAGGAAAATGTCACTTAAGTACAGTTCTGCTATAATTCTTGCCATGAAAGTCCTGCAGATGAGCTTTATTCACCCTTCAGGGAATAGCTTGCTTCTGTTTGGGAGTACCCTTTTGCTAGCCTTTACCTATAAAATACTCCACAGACATCCTCCTGTTTGAGAGCTGCAAAGTTGGTGCCATGACTGAGGGCTGCTTTCCTGCCTCCTTTGCTTTATTTACCCCTCGTTTTGCTTCAGGAAGGCAACAGAGAGGAGAGGCTGAAGTTCTGAAGGCCTCAAAGGCAGAAGGCCACGCAAAACCTGGTATTTAAAACCAGAATGCCATGCTGTTCCTCCTACACTTCTTGTTGCCTTCTACATGGAGCTCATTGCACCTTGGAGGGCCAATGGTAACCCGGGCTCCATCAGAAGAGGGGTGGCCAGCAGAGGCAGGGAGGTGATTGTCCTCCTCTATTCTGCCCTTGTGAGGCCCCTTCTGCAGTACTGTGTCCAGGTCTGGAGCCCCAGTACAGGGAGGACGTGGAGCTCTGGGAGCGGGTCCAGAGGAGGGCACTGAGATGATCAGAGGGCTGGAGCAGCTCTCCTGTGAGGAGAGCATTCAAGGCCAGGTTGGATGGGGCCCTGGGCAGCCTGGTCTGGTGCCACATCTGGAGGCTGATGCCCTTAGGGTCTCTTCCAACCCTAGGCACAAGGAACAGCAGCAGTTCACACTGCAATTAGCCCCTTGGTCACACCCAGCATGTTACACGGGGTGGGCACAAGGCAGGACTGTGGGTTCAGAGCTGTGTCACCTCTCACAGGTTTGGGATGTGGGCAACCAGAGCAGCAGTGCCTCAGGAGGGGCACGCGCCGATGTCAGTGAGCGTGCCAAGACTTCATTTGATGTCAGGGGAGATTCAGGCTGGACGTTAGGAAATACTGCGCTTCTGGAAGAGTGGTCAGGCAGTGGAACGGGCTGCACGGGGAGGTGGTGGAGTCACCGACCCTGTAGGCGTTCAAGGAACGTTTGGATTTTGTGGAGTGACATGGTTTAGTGATTGGTGACAGGTGGGTGGTTGGACTGGGTGCTCCTGTGGGTCTTTTCCAGCCTCAGAGATTCTACGATTCTATGGTTCATTTCTCTTCCACACTGTTGAACAGCCCTCAGGCTCCACACACACAAAACACCCGGGCTCGGCCCCTTTAAGAACTCCCTCCCGCCCTTGCAGGCAGCGTGACGTCACGCGTGCGCAGCGCGCGGTGATGACGTCAGCGGCGCCGAGACGGGGAAGGAGGGAGCCCTGCCGCTCCGGTGCAGAGATGGACCTGCGGCTGGCCGAGCTGGTGGAGGAGCTGACCACGGCGGGGGAGCCGCAGCTGGAGCCGGGCCGGCTGAAGGAGCTGAAGAAAATATGCAGGTGAGGAGCTGGGCCCGCCGCCCTTCAGTTTATTGATGGCGGTGGCTGAAAGCGCTGCACGTGGCACAGCTGCGGTGATTGCCCTCCTAACCGTTCCCTCAGGTCGTCGGAGGAGCACCTGAGCCACGCGTACCACCTGCTGCTGACCAGGCTCCACGAGGAGCACGCCGAGATGCGCTTCTCCGCCTTCCAGATCGTGCAGGAGCTCTTCTCCCGCTCTCACCGCTTCCGCACGCTGCTCGTTTCCAACTTCCAGGAGTTCCTGGAGCTCACGGTGGGGACGGACCACGAGCAGCCGCTTCCCCCGCCCCGGGAGGTGGCCCAGAAGCTGAGGAAAGCTGCCATTGCGGCGGTGCTGGGCTGGCACGAGAAGTATGGCGAGGCCTACAAGAAGCTGTCTCTGGGATATCACTACTTAAAGCAGAACAAGAAGGTACTCTGCGTTTTTACTGCCCTGTGTGTGTTTGGGGATTGTCTCGAGGAGGTGCTTTCCTCACTTTAAACAATAAATGTGAAAGGAAATCTGTTGGAAGCAAAGCGTCTTCAAGAGACTTCCCAAAGAGGCAGCCCCCAGCCTGGCCCGATCTTCCTTGGACTTATGGTGATTGTTCCCACCTGAAGCAGAAACCCTCTCCTTAAGGTATAAGGTACTAACACTAGCAAATGCCTACTTCTTTACATAACGTGTTTTCAGAAGGCTTTTCTGAACCTGAGATGCCTTTAAGAAAAATACAGGTTGCCCTGAGAGGTTGTGGAATTTCCTGCTCTGGAGATATTCAGGATCCATCCAGATGCTTCCTGGTGTGAGCTACTGCAGGGACCCTGTTTTAGTAGGGGGGTTGGACTGAAGAATCTCCTGAGGTCCTTTCCAACCTCTGCAATTCTCTGTTCCTGTGTGATTCGTTCCTTTGGTAATAACCTGAATGCAAGACAGAGTTGCACAATTCACCACGCACTCTGACGACATATTGTAGTGCTGCTCAGAAGCTGAGCTGAGCTCTCTGCTGCTCCCCAGGCAGATGTGCTTTTTTCAAAACCCAGCACCTTCACCAAGAACACTGTATTGTTTTCTGGGATTCTTTTCCTTTTGGACTTCCTAAACTTCCCAGCTGAACATTGTATGTGTGCCACTTATGATTCAGTGACTAAATATGCTCAGATTTAGTACTGAATACTGATCAGATAGAGAAAGTGAAGAAAAGAGCTGTCCCAGATCCAAACTAAGTTGCAGTGTGTCAGAAATACAATGGGAAAATGTACTTGTGGGAAGGGCTGAACTGTGTAAATAACTTTTTTTAAAGTCATTAAAGAAAAACAAAATAACCAGGAGTGAAAATTAAGGACACATCCAGAGCCAAATAGTGGAATACTGGGATGGTTGGTGGTCGTTGTTGTTTCTCTCTTAGTGTGGTTAAAAGGTTCTAAAACCCTAGGCTTGAAAGAAGAGCTGGGCCCAACCAGTGCTTTCTCAGTGTGCAAACCAGTAGAGCTCCACCCCCTGATTGCTGCTTGGAGCCCCACAGTCCAGCTGCTTTAGAATGGAAATCATACTTGCACTTTCAGCTGATGATTCATAGATAGGAAGTCTTTCTGTGAAAGCTTAAGATACCTTTCTTTCCATACTGAGCAGTGCTGTTCTGGTTTCATTTCAGAGTACAACACAGAAAGTGTAGCTGCTTTCTTTAAATAATTCCGTATTGTCTTACGTTACAGGAAAAAAAAAAAAAAAATGAAACCAGTGAGGGGAAATGCAGGACAGATGCAGGGGATCTCTAACGCATAACACAGATTCAATAGACTGCATGCTCAAATGTACAATAAGTCAGCTGAGGTTTGGTGTGTTTATCTGCACTCCTGCAGTCAGTTTGCTCCTCCCTTACGACTTTGGGTGTTCACTTCATGCCCTTGTGGTACTGAGCAGTCCAGCAGAAGTGGCTGTACTGTTATTTTTTTTTTTTATTGCACCTGAATACTTCTGGAAAGAGTTCTAAGAGAAGCAACTGAATCTCAGCTCCTGAACTTAAGAGCTAATATTGGTGTAGCCAGCCTTTTGTCATCTTAATACGTGAACTGCAAGAGACAACAAAAAGACCTGAGGAGGCTTTAGTACCTTTTAGAAATCAGGTGCATCTGCTGTTTGATGTTACAGCTCTGGCACAGTATGGAGCAGTTTGAGGACTGTTAGAGTCTTACTTTTCAGATTATCATCATCAAAGTTGGTCAGAAGATGATCACTGCAGCCCTTCTAAGGTATATACTCAGAAAACAACCTACTGGTTTATTCTTAGTAAACTGAAGTTATACCTGTATGAAGGTCTGACTTTAAGAACAGAACATATTTCGGCATATTAGAAGACAACTTTGTGGTGGTTTCTTTTGTTGTTTTTTTTTTTTAACAAATCCCTGTGTCAAATTTCAAAAATGAAGCAAGAAGAAATATATATGTATGCACACATAAGTATTTTCAGCAGTATTTTTTTGATTCTGGGAAGGCACAGATGGGGTTGCAGATTAAGTGTGAATTATAAACTGAATGTGACTTTGATAGACTGAGAGTATTAATGCTGAATTCCAGTATTTCCCCAAATTTGCAGTGTTTATTGCTGTGTAGGCTCACTAGTCTTACACCTTTTAAATCAAGAAGAGTTGTTTGCACCTCATCACGTCCAGCTCCAATGTTCATTACAGACTAATAGCAAAAGGCTCCATACGTCTTGCTCCAGCACTGGGGCTGAGTAGTGTCCCTCTGTGTTGTCTGAATGAGGTTCTTAGATATGCTCTGTTCTGACCAAGTTTCTGAGTGCTGGCTCATCTAGCAGCGACAATAAAGACAAATGTTCAGTGGGTGCTTGTAATACAGGCACCGTGCACAGAGGGTGCAGCCCTTATAAGCAGCAAAGGATGGGCTCACTCAGCCCTCAGCATAATCCATAATGAAATTAATGAAAGCTATGTGGTAGCAGTCAAAAGGAAATAACTACATTTCCTTTTCAAGTGATTTTTCTTACGGAATAGCACAACTCAGGATTCGTTTCCTTAAAATAGAAATGAAAATACGTAGATTTTCAAACCCTTCTAAGAAAAAAAAAAACCTACAATTTTAAAAGAAACTGTTTTGCATCACTCAGATTTATGTTTATATTTTAGTCATAAGAAAGTGAGACTGAATGACATCCTTTCCCTCAGTCAATGAATCCAACAAATAATTTAAAAAAAAAAAAAAAGCCATTGATTTTCAGCAGTCCCTTATTAGTAGAAATAAAACCTCCATTCAGAATTTCTGTAGTTATTGATTTCAGGAGGAGAGGAGATAAAAGGAAGTACTGCTGAGCTTCTGGATGATTGCTTACGTTAGAGGATTTTTCACCACTGATAAGGATCTTAGGAAATGGATTTTCTATGTACTTCTTACAGAGAATGTTGTACTTTTTTCTTCATTTCCTTAGGTGGATTTTCAGGACGTGCATGCAAGAACAGTGGCTGAAAGGAAAAGGGAAGAAGAGAAGCAAAAACGATTGGATAACGTTTACAAAGAAAAAGCCAAAAGAGCTGAAAAAGAAATGGCAGGTGATGTGCTTTGACTTGGGTGGGTTTGTTGTTAAAGCAATTTTTTGTAAGGTTGTATAAACCAAATTCCAGCAGAATAGATATCCAAATAAGAGCAAACCTCAGTGTACAGGAATAGTACATTTGTTAGTGCTTCACTCTGTCTCTCACCTAAAGAATGTCAAGGCAAATGAGTAGCAGGTCCCATAAGGCTCAAGTAGAATGAGGAGATATTGGAAAAAAAACAACTTACAAATGTCTGGTCAGTAATTCATCAGGTGTGAATGCATACCTTCATGCACATGTATGAAGTTGGACTTGGTGATCCTTATGAGTCTCTTTGAATTTGGGATATACTGTGATATCAGGAGCAGTTCTGGATCTCGTGGCTTAATTACTGTGTCTATGGTTAGGTACAGGCTTCTTGACTGATGACCTCAGTTGTACTGTATATGCATCATGTATGTTCCAGGAGTTTGGGCACAAGTCTGCGCAGCAATCCTAGATGCAGTATAGGAAATCTGTGAGAAGTGTTATGTTGCTGGGAGCTGAATCTCTGAACATGCACACAGCCAGCATATTCCTGCCGTATTTGAGAACAGACGTAGTGTAACTATGGTTCTCTAACTAGGTTGTAGTTGGTAGGGATTATTTATCTCAATTGCTTCAGTTTGTGCAATGAATGCATTTGTGTCTGCCTTTATTCTACATGGTGCAAATGTTTTCACACATGGAAAAAAGAGATTTAACCTTTTAAAGTCAGCTTTACTGATAGCATCTCTTAGCTATGGCATATATTCACGGGTGCACTTGCAAACAGCTGTAACATTTGTGGCTGCAGAATGAGCACCCAGTGGCATTACCAAGGATACCTTGTTTCTTACCAGTAATGTTCTGCTTCGAATTTATTGAAGTATTTGAGTCACCTTTGATAGACAGTGAAATTTTAGGGAGGATAGGAAGGGAGGAATGCTGGTCCTAAATTTGTTGTTCAGGAAGTTCTAGAGATCCTGTTTAAGAGAAGTATTGACTCTCTTCTGAGGACCGTTCCTGCACTGGAAATAAATATGTGTGGATAAACTGTGACTGATTACTGGACAAATGGATTCTTTGGCAGTAGTGTTTGTTTTGTAGGTATACTGTGCTCAGGAGTCAGCACTGCACGCTGTTTCACAAAGTTCTGAAACAACTCTCTCTTGATAGAACTGTCCCAAGAGGTTGCTGAGACACTGACAGAGATGGAGAACTGTTTCCGGCTTCTGTTGCCAGATCCTTTTGACTTCACTGTGAGCAACACAGGACTGGAACCCAATGAACAAACGAGTGCTGACAAGGATAGATCTGCATCCTCCTTGTCCTCATGTGTGGGATGTGTGGATGATGAACAGCCGTGCTGTAGCAAGGACATTCTTCCTGTTTCTCAGTGTGTCAGAACGGATCAAAACGAAGAGTTAGGTGACAAACAGAAGAAGCCTGAGCAAAATATATTAGATGGAGACACGTGCTCTGAGGTTGAAACTGGTGTTCATGTTCTTGGTGATGATGATTATGAAACTTTTGTCAGGAATCATGGACTGATTTCTCATAAGTATACTCTAGACCTTGAACTCTCTACAGGTACCTGCACCAATTTTTCACAAAGAGCTGGGGATAATCTTTGCAATGCTTTGTAGTTTGTTTTTTTTGTTTGTTTTTTTTTTTTCCTTTGCTTGTTTGTTTTTGCTGTGACTTCAGCATTTGGGGTCCCTGGGCATCATTTTGATTTATTTTGGCCTTCCTTTCTATTTCTGCCCCATTTAGCAGCCTTTCTTAGTTTTGGATGTTCTTGTATGGGATTTACAGATTTCATTAATTTCTGAAACTGAATGTTTGTATTAGTTGTAAACACATTACTACACTTCATGGTACATGTGATTTTCCTGTGTTCAGAAACAAAATGATTTACTTACTGTATATAGTATCTTATTTCAGCACTTCTTTCTTTCTCATTGTAACATGGGTAAAAGCTACTGATTTAAACATATTGATATTGGCTGTTTCTTAATCTTCTCTTTGTTATTGACAACTTGCAGGAAACAGCAGAGTTTTTCCTTAAGAGTTGTGATTAGACCGTTCTATCTAACTTTGTTAATAAGAATTGCAGATAGAAAAAGTCTGAGTATTTAGGGCTTCTCACTTTTTTCCAAATGAAATCTCTTACAAATACTGTCCAATTGGAATTTCAAGTGCATGAGGCTGGTGAGATAGCTACGTACTTTGCTTGCAAGCAACAGATTTGAAAGTTACCCTTGGGGCTTATGAGCATTGAACTGGTGCAAAATACCATTTACCATTCTTGTGTGGTGGCAGACTTGGCTTCCTCGACAGTCAACCCCTTTTGGGATGGAGGCCCTAGGAACATTTCATATTGAATAAGCACGAACTGGTCCATTAGGGCCTGGTTCATTTATTGGAACATAGGACAAGATATAATGTAAATAGTAAAACTGCACTGGTTTTGGTTTACTTCGTGTGATGGCGTAACAAATCCTTGTCATCACTGACCTGACAGCTTTTCATCTTTTCCTTTTTGATTGTGGATAACAGAATATATAATAATCAACATCAAATAGTTTAGAAAAAAATACTTTATGTACAATCATATTATTATATGTGTTGTTTATGTTTTTATGCTTTATGTAAAATACTTTAGAGAGGTTAACGGGTACTTCTACTCAGTGTTTACAGTATCCTGGCTACTTGGTTACAACTAACTGTTGTTTTCCTTTATTGGAGCAGATATCAAAGTGCATGAGAACGAAGACAATACTGCTGTAATAAACAGTGTTGTGGATGCTCACAAACTCGTCAGAAATAAGTTCTTGCCTTCCGTGCAGTCCTGGATTCAGGTGGGGTAAAGACCTAATTTCTTCATTTCCGTGAAAAGATGGACTAGGTGCTGGGAGGCTTGAGAGAGAGAGGAAAGAAATTAAGGTTGAGAGAAACATTGGTGCAAATAGGAAAGAAGGTTGCTGGTTCCATAGGGATGTACAGAAGGAGACTGCAGGAGCTACAGAGGTTGTTTGATGGCTCAGTGCTCGGTGTGCTGCCTGCAGACACATTAAAATAAAAGTAGGCATCTAAGAAAATACAGCTTCTTCACAAAGTATTTAAGTAAAACTTGGTATGTTTTCATCAGGCATGTCTGCATCTGACCACTGTCTTTTCTGCCAGTTGATATTTGCAGGAGCCTCGTGCAAGAAATATGGCCTGCCAGAGGGCATTATTAGGAGATGTTTATAGCAACTGCTCATTTGTTATTCATCTTCAGTGGTTGGTTTTAGGTCTTAAATTCTAGTTGGGGAAAGAAATGCATTGACAAATTGTTACGTATAAAATAAAAGAATTTGTGACATTTTTCCTCTACCTTATGTGAGACAACAAATAAACAAGTGCTTTTTGCTCTGGTGGTAGAAAAAGAATAAGAATGTAGATTTTTTGCTTTGCAGTTATTTACCCGAGCAGGAATAAATGACGATCGGTTGAGATGTGCCATTGATCTTAAGAATAAACTGGAGGCTGCTCTGAGGAAATACAAGGAAATGAACATTACTTTTAAAGAGAGAAAAAGAAAAGTGGTGAGTTTTTGAAACTTCACTTACTAGAGAGGACTGTTAGTAATACGTGGCTACTTGGCTTGTATACAAAAACGCACTCTTTCTTAAACCTCATTCTGGCAAACTTTTCAATGCAGGTTTAATTTATTCACAAATTCATCAGCTAAAGAAGTTGAGCTGAGAACCTACTATAATCAGGAGCTGTTCTTAGGCAAAGCCATGTAAGGTAGCGCTGTTGGTTTTTATTGGATAGCATTGTATAAGGTTGGTTGGATAAGGTTAGGCTTGGATTTTATTTACTCTTAGTTTCTTCATATGCAACATTATGTCCTCATCTTCCTTTGTGCAGATACATATTTCTCAGGAAATGCTGTGTAGCTGTTATTCTTTACAGAACTTTGCTAGTGTCTACAGTTACAAAAGCAGCATTTCTGCTTTGTAGTGTTTACTTCCTACAGTAGGCAAGTAGCATGACTAAGGACATCTTGAAGGAATTAGTTGTTTTATAATGCTTTAAAGGGTCAGAAGATGACAGATTCTGGGAAACAGGCAAAGCTAATGAATAAATGGAGGCTGAAAGATCAAATGCTTTACTCAAATCCAGTCCAGACTCCTCAAAGGAGTCTATATCATGTTTATGTATCTAAAGCAAAGCTCCACAATGCTCCTTTATGCTGCTTGAGATCCAGCTAAATTACTGTGGAGTTGAACACACAAATAATGTTTTGAGCCATGGTTTATGACTGGATTGTAAGAATTTGATCCAGATGTTATACCTTGGATTAAACTGTAGTATCCTGGTTTAGCCATGACTGAGTGTTGCAGACTTTGCTTTCCTTGTGCAAATGAAGCCTTATTAAGATTAATTTGGTTCGTCATCTTAGTACTACAGACGTACCACGTCAGTCAAAAATGTCAACTATGAATGGAAAGTACTGTAAGACTGTCTTGTCAGGGTTATTTTTTCCCTCAGTGAAATATGTGTGCTACCTTAATGCAACCAACTATGAAGGAATCCAGACATCTGCTGTCATTCCTGCCATTTGCTTGACAGGACTTCATTTGCTGTACCTCTGCGTGGAATATTGGTTGCAATATTTCTTGCAAGGTATAAAGGACGTTCAAGCCTTGCTTTTTGTGTGTGTGTGTGTGTACATGTGTATGTGTTTAAAGTGGTACGTTACCACTTCTGGAGATTGATCAATGCTATCTATGTAGGGTTGAAAGATAATAAATTGTACCATTACAACTGCAGAAATAAAGGAGAATGCATAGCAGTATTCACAACGAGTACATTCAGAATGAAGCAGTGTTTATTGAGGTATTAACTTATGCACTGAAAATTACATGTAATTGGTTTTATTTTCTTTCCCAGTGGAAAATACCCAAATTTCATTTTAGTGCTGATTTAATTTAATTTATAACCTGAACAAAGAGAGCTGTGTGCTGTAGAATGAAATTGTTTAAATTGTCTTTTCATCACGTGACAATTGAGTTGTTTGAAACTTATAAACATGGTAAAGGGAGAGACTGATAGAAACGCTGTTGCTTATTTTCTTCTTAGGCTGTGATTATTAGCTCCCAATCTGTCAAGTGTTTACGTGCCGGCATATGAAATATTACACTCAGCTCCTACTTAATCCAGCATTGTTGCTTACATTACATATTGCTCCTTCTGGCTGCATGTCCTTGTGTTAGTAGAACTGTAGTTCTTGCCATGCTGTGGTCTTGCTGTACTTTCAGATTGCTGTATTTTTAGATGCAAGTGAAGAAGCACTGACAGCAGAGCTCTGGCTTGCAGCCATCCCAGCCTGACAGAGCTCGGTGCTTCACAAGTGGGGTTTGTCAGCTTGTGAAGTCAGTGAGTGCTGTAGACCTGCTCGTGTGTAGAGATGCTTGTTTAGAAATGAAGGGGAGCGTTTTATAAGCAGGGACAGCAAGCAGATGAAATGTCTGAGCACAGAGGGTCCCATGTTAGTTGTCTGGTTTGCAGTTGCTCTGTAATAACTCTGCATTTTGATACGGTATCAGTTTTCCTGGTAACTGCTGATTGCAAGTACACATGGGCAAATTCACTACTGGGCAACAAATCTTGGATTATAATTATGATACTGCACCACAGGCAGGCCTTATCTTCAGTGAGAACGTGGTTTTGTTTTACCAGAAAGTATAAAACAGATCAAGAGGGACTTGGGAAGTTGGCTGAGGACCTGGGCTTGCTCAGTCTCCTCAGATCTTGTTTTTTGATTTGTGCTCAGTCTTTGCCTTCCTTTTCATTTCTTGTACCATACTTTCTTTCTGTTCTGTCCCTACTTGTGCTAGAATGCCTCCTGCCTTCTCGGGGTTTAGTTTGAAGGGAGTGGCAGGGAAAGGCATTTCCCACCCTCATCTTGAAATCAAGGAAGTTGATGAGTGCAGGGTTTTTGTGAGAGATTCTCTTTATCTCTGTAAGAAATATGAAGCCCCACGGCTTTGCAAACTATGGGGTATCTTTTTGTAATTTTATGGAACTTCTTTTCTATGAAGTCATTTGTAGGAAGGCTTCATGCAGAGAAATGCTCTGGCTTGAAATAGATTATCGTGATGTGGATATTGTTATCTTTTTCTGCTCCGTGTGCAGAAAGCCTAAATTGTAGAAAGAGTGCTTTCAAAGTCTGCCAACGCAAGTGGACAATGGCATTCTTCTGTTCATACCTTTCAAGAGCTGTGGGAGGAGAGGAAAAAGAATAACAAAGTTATCCATTGACTGTCTAGAATCACAGAATCACCAATGTTGGAAAAGACCTCCAATATCACCCTGTCCGACTGCCCACCTATCACCAATATTTCCCACCAAACCTTTCCCTTCAGTACAACATCTAAATGGTTCTTTCTTGAACAACCCCCAAGGTTGGTGATTCCACCACCTCCCTGGGCAGCCTGTTCCAGTGCCTGACCACTCTTTCAGAGAAGTTGCTGTTCCTGATGTCTGACCCGAACCTGTCCTGCTGTAACTGGAGGCCGTCCCCTTCAATCCCATCGCTGGTTACACAGGAGAAGAGGCTGACCCCCACTTTGCTGCAGCCTCCCTTCAAGTAGTTGCAGAGCAGTGTGGTCTCCCCCGAGCCTCCTCCAGACTGAACAATCACAGTTCCCTCAGCCAGTTTCCTCGTAAGAGGAAACAAATCCGTTGCAGCAGATTTTCTAAATGTTCTTTCCAATTGCTGTGCCTCCAGAAGTCATCAACACATTTCTTCCTGAATTACTGTTTTTCATAGAGGCTGGGGGGTGGATGGACAGTGGCAGTCTCAATGTATTGATCAAAGGCAAATGAGTTTTTATGTGCTTACAGAGGTCCTATTTATCATAGCAAAATATTTATTTAGGGCATGAATAAGGTGTTCACTTCTACCAGGAAATGTATTTTGAAAACATAAACCAGAGTTTTGAAATCTGATCTTCTCTGCATCTGAGTTTTAGCTGAAGCTGGGGAAAGAGCACAGAAGCGATAAAAGCCTTTTATTTTGCAGTACCTGGATGACTGGACATACTACTTTCTCTCAATGCCTGGATATTCAGGATAATCTCAGTGTCCAGTAGAGGGAGTGCACACTGCATGTTCAACATTTTTCCCTACGCTACCTTTATCCAAAGCCAGCCATCATCTCAGCCTGTGTGTCCAGGTAAACCTAACAGCAGAACACTAGAGACACTTTGAGTTAGTTCTTGACTATTTAAATGAATTATTGTAGAATAACAATTGCAATTATTGGCTGAGATTGGTATTTTAATAGAAATGCCTTTTTCTCAAGGTTTAATTCTTCTGTTGGAATAACCTGCTGATGGCTAAAATGTTCATTGAATTTTTTTTTCCTGATTAGAGAATTTTATTTCTTAATACCTTCTCCCTTTGTTCTTACAATTCTAAACTTGTCTAGTGTTTGATTTGCAGCTGAGTAGATACAAAGGTCTTCCAATTTTAACAGTTATTTAGAGCACAAGTGCATCATTTAAAACACACACAGTGCTTTCCGTTTACATGACTTTCCATTTGGATTATATTTGAAGTTCTCACATAATTAATAGAAATGTAGCTCAGCTCATTAGCTATGTTTTGTACACGAGAGTTTATTTATCTCTCATGTAATTGCCTTTGGGAAGCCATAAAGGTTTAATACTTAAGCTGACTGAAACTTAACCAGATAGAAGCTAGTAGGCAATATGATGATGTGAGAAACATCCTGCTCTTCTCTCCATCAGCAGTGTGGTAATACACCAGGCCTATTATACTTTGTATTTTTAATTTCAACTCATACTAACAACCAGAAATATATAATCTTTCATCAACTGTCTTCATTATTTTTTGTTTCACCCGTCCTTATCTTCTGTCAAATCTAAATGTATGCTTGGATCTTGATTTATTCCTGTACTTAACTTTACCCATGTGAAACATCTGGTTGGATTCAGTAATGTCATTAATAATTAGATTTGGAGGGGGCTGTTCTTGTGTAGTCCAGTATCTGATCAAGCCCTAAACCCTACTGCAATACAGCTGAAAGAACAACATCAGAAAATTTTTACAAATATTGTCTCCAAATTAAGTATTTCATGGTCAGATGTTTGCTCTTAAAATATTTTACTATGCAATAAGATTAAATTTTTACTATGTAATCAATTAAGCCATGAGCTCTACCAATTGATTACAAAACCATTGCTGCTTTTTTTCTCCCATATCTTCAACTACAGCTTGGCTTTTTCTCAGTGCTAATGAGTTATTTCTTTGTAATCGTTTTATAACTCCATGAACAGCTCTTTAAGTATGTGTTTAGTTGGATCGAAGGCAAGGACTATTTTGTTGTTCTGTAGCCACAGAAAATCTGCTGCTTTCTTCCTGCCTTCCAGCTTTGTGTAACAGCTTCTTGTGCTCACACCCTCATTTTTTTCTCTTCATTTTATAGAAGCTGCCTCTGAGGAGTATTGTCATTCTCCCCACATGCCTTTAAATTGCACACAAAATCGCGAACTCTTAACAAAGTGTCCCT